GTTGTTGTTGTTATTCTTATTTGTGCTGCTGCGGTTACTTCGGCTGCGCCCGTTGCTGCTGCTGCTGCTGTTGTTGTTGCTGCTGTTGTTGTTATTGTTGGTGCTGCTGCTGCTGTTGTTGTTGATGGTGCTATTGTTGTTGATTGTTTATTGTTGTTGTTGTCGTCGTCGTCGTCGTCCCTCCAGGATACACCCACGCCTTGACACACCATTGACCCACCAGCCCCGCGACTCACCCGCGCCCCCTTGGGTATTGCTTGAGGATAATTCTGGTGACGACGACGATTGTAGCCATGCGTATTCTTGAGGCCGCAATGGCTACAGCGACTCGAAAGGTATCCAGTCAATGCGATGGCCGCATATGTGTACCAGAGACGCTGACGCCATCGAGCGGCACAGGCGCCGGTTCACATGACGTTGACAATTAGCAATAACCCATCATGATGACAGTGGTGAGCGCCCCTGAAATTCGACGTTGCGAACACAAGCGCTGCCAAAAATCCCGACCGCAGCCCTAGATCCCATCTTTGTGCGGCACTTGCTGTGGGCCAGATCGACCTGTGATGGTCCCAGGGCCCGAAGCTGAGCGAAGCTGCCCGCCGGGAAAAGATGGCAGCGCCTGGTCCGAGGGGCGTGCGACGATGACGGCGGCGAGTAAGACATCCAGGCTCGCAGCCGCCCGACCTCTCGATCACTTGCCCGGGGCCGATGTTCGTCCCGATTCGTTTTGTGGACGGCCCCAGGGCCCGGTCAGGGGCCCCGAGAGGCCAGAACCTCTGACGTCTCCGCCTGGGTGTGGCACTGCGCGGTGGTGGCCATCCAGGCTCGCAGCCGCCCCCGCTACGGGAGCGCGGGCGCGTGGCGCCGGCCTCCGGGTTCGATGCCGCGGAGGCTGCTCTTGGAGGCCAGGCGGCGCGCGCCGCTCGCCGTGCGCCCCGCGGTGCGCCATGCCCGCGGTGCGCCTCACGCTGGAGCTCATCGCGGACAGCCTGCGGGGGCCGGCGTGCATGCCCGTGGAGGTGCGGCCTGCGCTGGGGAGCTCGGAGGAGGAACATCGTTGCGTGATGCCCGGCCCTGAGCCAAAACCCCTGGGTCGGTTTTGGAGGTCGTGCGGCGATCGCGGCGGCGGCAAACTGGGGCAGGGCATTTGTCAAGAAGTGGCACGCCCGTTCCCCCTCCCCCGCCTGCTCTGCGATGTGGACGTGGCCCTACATGGGCAGCCCTGTTTTTTTTGGCTAGGGGTTGATTACCACGCAACCGGAAAATGGTACTGATGCCGCTGCCGTTGGCTCGTTTTTGCCTTTCTGGGCCTTCTGAGCCCTCGTCGTCACGGCAGGATTCGCGTTGAAATTTTGGTCAGGACGCACCCTGGGAGAGGTACAGGGTGTAGCGGTGTCGGTGCCTTCGGGGTTCTTCAGGATCAGGCTGCTGGACCTGTCGCCGGTCGTGGTCGAGGCGCCTCCCGGGCAGGCTCTGGCCGCGAGGGCCGACGCCAGAGTGTCCTTTGGCGGCCGAGGCAAGGCGCTGGTGTTCAGCCTGCCGGCAGAGGAGGCCAGCGCCACGGGTGGGCCGCCAGTGCCGCTGTGGCTCATGGCCCTCGGCCTGCGGCCGGGCGAGGGCACCGCGGCCGTGCTGCTGGCCTCCTGCTGCGTGGACCTGCGGCCAGAGCTCTCGCGGCTGGCCGCCGACGGGTGCGCGGGCGGGTCGCCGCGCCCCTTCCGCCGCTGCAGCTTCCAGATGCAGCACGTCCAGTACGCCGACTGCGACATGGGCGACGCAAAAAAACGGGTCCAACTGCGCCGACATTGGTGCGTAAGCTGCCTGCGTAAGGTCCCGCGTATGCGCCCTCGCCGTCTTCAATGTGCCGTGCCGCGCCAGCGGCCCGCGCAAGCCGCTGCGCAAGGCCGCTGTGCCATATCGCGTAAGACCCGCTTTTCATCGTCGCTCACATGACGCTGGACTGCTACCTGCGCCTGTACGCTGGCGGGCACCGCCCCCTCGCCGGCGGCGAGCTGCTGCTAGAGCCGAGCGCCGTGGAGCCGCTGCGTGCACGTGGCGCCGTGGAGGCCGCGCCGCTGCGGCCTCCAGAGCCAGGGGCGGCAGGCCCCGCGGCCTCGGCGGCCCTCGCGCGCGGTGACGCTGCGGTGCCGGGCGGGGCCCAGGCCGCCGTCGCCGCGCCAGCGCCTCCGTCGTCGCGCGGCGGGTCGCCCTGCGGCGCCCCCGCTGCTGCGGGGGCGCCATCGCCGCCGCGGCGGCCAGGGCACCTCGAGCCCGCCAGGGGCGCCTTCTTCCCCGCCGAGATCCGCCTCGGCGGGGCCGGAACCGGCGACGGCGGCGCCGCAGCGGCGCCCGCGGAGCCTGGGCGAGCGCGAGGACCGACGGGGGTGTCCCCTGCCGAGCGGCAGCACGCAGTTCCGTGCAGCTCGCTCAGCGACGCGGCAGCGGCTGCCGCGATCTCCGCCAGCCTCGCGCGCGGCGCCGCGTCGATGGCGCTCGCGGCGGTGCCTCCCGAGGAGGGCCGCGAGGCGGCCGCGGTGGCGGCGGCGTCGTCCCCACCGCGAGGGGCGCCGAGGGGCGACAGCGCTGGGGCCGCGGCATCCCTGCCACTGGTCTCGGAGATGCTCCGCGAGCTCTGGCAGGTCTCTGGCGTATCTGCCACACCATCACCGCCGCCTCACTGAGGGCAGATCGCGGTGCCTTGCCGCAGCCCCTGCGGCAACGGGCGCTACGGTGGCGGCGCTGCCGGTGACCATCTCGTGCCGTGGTTCTGATAAGCGACCCAGAAAGCATGTTCTGTGCGGCGCATGCGCCATTAGCAGAGTGATTCATTGGGACCTTTCTGGTTTCGAGCTTGTGCCAGCTGATGCCAGCGGTTCGGTCCCAAACAGTCGAAGCACGTCGACGATCGGAACTAAGCATAAGCAAGTGGAAACACTTGTAAGCATGCCGATCCAAGGGGAAGTAAGTCGAAGCAAGCGGGAACATGTGAAACCCAGTGCTAGCATATTGAAGCACCTGCAGACGTGTGGAAGCATGTGGAAGCATGTGGTAGCAAGCGTAAGCAAACCTTGCCCGGATGTGGAAGCATATGGAAGTAGTTTTCGGCCTCTGGGGGCCCTTCCCAAGCCTCGGTGTGATCCAAAGATGAGTTATTGTTCCATCTTTTTTGCCGAGGTTTCGGCCCTCGTGGGGGCCGTTTCCAGGCCCGGGGCAATCAAACATTGCATTGATTCCCCGAGATTCGACGTGGCTAACCACATGGCAACCTCGCGGAACGTCGCGACCGCAGCCCCAGACCCCAGCCTTCAGCGGCCCCTGTCGAGCAGGATCGGCCCGGGAAGGCCCCAGGGCTCGAGGCTGGCCGCACACGACCTGTCTGACAGCATTGCCGCGCCCAGCTCTCAGGGCTGGGGACGAACGAGCTCTTGTTCTCGCGAGCGCCCCGCCCTGCCACGGGGGGATGTAGCTGCCGAGCCCCGTCCGCGGAAGACAGTCGTCGGGAATCAGAGGCCCAGCCAGCCACTGCCGACGGCACCCTCCAGCCAAGCAGGCGCCGGAGCACCCCTCGGCTCGGATGCAGCTCCTGGGAGGTCAACTTCTGAGTTTGCCCTGGTCAGGACTTATCCGGCTTGATCCCGCTCAGTCTGGCTTGCAGTGATCCCGCTGCATCCGCGGCCTCATCTGCCGTAACGGCCCGAGAGATCTGCGTGTTTTTGAGGCGAGATCCGGCTTAGAAAACCGGATCTGGCTTGAGAGAATTGCGTGTTTTTGGAAGCCGGATCTGGCTTGAAAAAAAGACGCAGTTCAATCGGGCTTCACCCTCTTCGATCCTTCCCACGAAGACCTCCCAGCAGTTGCCTCCCCACCGCGGCGCGGACGGGCCCGCAGCAGGGCCACGAGGAGGTCTTTGGGGCGAGCAGGCATGACTACCCGGGTGAGCGGCCAGGCCGCTCCGTTTTTTCTGGCGGCCTCCCCTCGCCGCGCCCGCGGCGCTCTCGCCCCCAGAGCTCCGACGATGTGCTGCTCGAGCGAAGCGCGAACTCTCGTTGTCGTCGTCGCCGCCGCCGCCGCCGTCGTCGCCGTCGTCGTCGTCGCCGCCGCCGCCGCCGCCGCCGTCGTCGTCGTCGTCGTCGTCGTCGTCGTCGTCGTCTTGGTCGTCGTCGTTGTCGTGCGGGTGCCGCGGAGAAATGGTGATTCTCCATTGTTGGTGGGGCCCCAGTCCATCAATAAGGTCGCCAAACATATTATTTGTTTCCACGGTGGGGGGGGGGTCCTAAAGACCTATGGGGGTCAACCAGCTCCCACTTCCCAGACGTCAGCGCCCCAAGCCTTTCCGAGCCTCCCGCCCCGCGAGGCAGAGCGACACGTTGCATACGCTTGCAAGACATACCTTGTCGCCAGGGCCGCCGCCGCGACACGCCAAGCGTCGGGACCTCCAGGGCGGATGGCAAGGGGCCCTCTTGGGACTTCTTTGCGGCCCTCCTGCGCCGCCTTGGGGCCCTCTTTGGCCGTCCTGGGGCCCTTGTGGCCGTATGGTGTGGGTGTCTGGGGGGCGAAGAACTGGTCCTGGGTGGAAGCTCCCGTTGTCCACGACCCGCTTCCCTCAGGACGCGCTTGCATTCATGCGAGAGATACATTCGGGGATGTGTGTCGGGCGGGCCCACGGCCCAGATTTCCGACGGTATGATGTTCCTAATCCTGGCGATGTTCCTCTGGATTTCGGCCCCTGGGGCCCGTTATCGGGCCCCAGAGCCATAAAAATCGGATCTGGTGCGGGGAACTGGCCCCAGGGAAGGGGGTCGAGACCTCTAGGGCCGCGGATTGGACAACTCATATCGGAGCCAGTCTGGGTAAGGGCCCCACCTCAGGCCAGAAACGCGCAAACACTTTCCGTCGCAGTTTTCACGACGCGAAGGGGGGCCGTCCAGGTCGTCGTCGTCGTCGTCGTCGTCGTCGTCGTCGTCGTCGTCGTCGTCGTCGTCGTGGCCTCTCGCGCCCAGCAGCAGCTGGTGCCCCCGGAGCGCCTCCGGTGGTGCGCGCTGCACCTCTGCCACCCGAACCGCGGCGACGCGGGCGACGAGGAGGCCTGGGTCAGGCGGCGCCGTCGCCCCGCCAGCGCCCCCGGGGGCACGTTTCCCTCCCAAGATCCTCGGCGAGGTGCCCTGAGATCTTGGCGTTGAAATTTTTCACAACGGGCGTCTTCGCCCGGTTTCGGGCTCCGGGGACCTCACGTCTCGATCCGGCTCGAAAAATGGAGGGCACCCTCCGTGATATTTCGCGATGCTGCAACTTCTCCGCAACGTCGGATCTCAGGGCGTCAGGGTGACCTTCCGCCGCAGGGACCTCTGGTGCGGGCCCTCTGGGGTCTCCCGATCGCCGAACGCGGAGCGGTCGTGGCGTCTTGCGCGCTTGTGTTCGGTCCCGGGGAAAGGGTCGGGACTTCCAGGGACCCCGTATTGAAAAGATCAGGACGTCGCATGTCCGGGTCTGGGAGCTCTTTCGGCCTCTGGAGGCCCTCGCCGGGCCCTTGGAGCCTCAAGCAACGGCTCGGGATGGAGAACCCGCCCTGGGGCAGTGGAGTCGAGACCTCGGGGGGCCGACGTCGTGACACGAGTCATGGCGTCGGGGGTCTGGGCTTCGGGGTGGCGCGAGGTGGGCCGCCTTCCGAGAGAGGAGGGGGCCCTCTGCGAAGGCAGGCGAGCGACGGAAGGACACGGAGTCGGCTGCGCCAGCTCTCGCGCATAGGCTTCCCGCGTGCAGTCCGAGGCGGGGATCTATCCATAACCACCGCCTATGGGGTCGATCTTCGCGGACCTCCACAGGCGGTGGTTTTGGATAAATTCGGGCCCCCAGGGATCCATGCGTGTATATATATATATATATATATATATATGTGGATATATATATATATATATGTATATATCCATATCCGCCGCCCGGTGGGGCACCAGGACGTCGGTTCCCAGGCGGTGGATATGGATACACCCCCGCCTCGCATGCAAGGTCGCGTGTGCGGTCAGGAACTTTGAGGCCTGGGGCGTCGCTCCGCCGGTTCTGGCCCACCACTTTTCGGTGCGACATGCCATATCCACTTCCCCATTCCTAAAGTGCCAGCGTCTCAAGCCCTTCCCAGCCTCCCGCCCCGCGGAGCGGAGCGACACGCTATTCGCTCGCAAGGCATTGCGTGTCGCCGGGGCCACCGCCGCGACACGCTATGATGTAAAAGTTCCCGACCGTAAGCGCCCACTTCTCCACGCGGTGTGCAACGCCAGCGGCTCGCGTAAGCCGCGTCGTGAGGTCGCTCGTGGCTTCTTAGAAGCCCTCCCGGCTTCCAGGAGCCTGGTCCTATAGGGAGCTTTACCGAAGGCCCCAGTGGCAGTGTCCGCATGGCGGCACCGCAGCCATTTCGGCTCACCCCTTGAACGATTCGTAGCCCCATAGGCAGCTCCGCCGAAGGCCCCAGTGGCAGCGTCCACATGGCGGCACCGCACCTGTTTCGACACACCCCTTACGTTTCGTGGCCCCCTAGAGAGCTCCACCGAATGCTCCAGTGGCAGCGTCCGCATGGCGGCACCGCACCCCTTTCAGCTCACCCCTCACACGTGTCGCGGCCCCATAGGGAGCTCCGCCGAAGGCCCCAGTGGCAGCGTCCGCATGGCGGCACCGCACGCGTTTCGGCCCTCCTTCGTCTCACATGCCTCGTGATACTCGTAGCTGCATAAGGTTGGGTCCTTCGCCAGGTATTTCCCCACATCCAAAGTGGGGTTCTTGTTTTCTCTGGACACCCCGCGCAGGAACAGGAACACACACACACACCCACTCACACTCACTCACACTCTCTCATCATCAACCTCATCAGCATCATCGATGATGCTCTCTCACATGCTTAGTCACTCACATACTCATCATCATCATCACTCGCACTCTCTCACACGCTCACGAACATCATCATCATCATCATCGGCATCGGCATCATCCTCATTCAAACATCATCATCGCCACCACCACTCACAATCAATCATCATCCTCTTCACCACTCATCTTCACCACCACTCATCATCCTCATCCTCATCATCGTTGAGTAAATTGTGAGGAAGTCTCAGGCGGGAGCCCCCTCCCTATGGGGCCCGCAGATCATGTTGGTAATCCGAGCGGGTCATCGGAACCTGTAACTGTCGTCACTTTTGGGCTCGTCAAGCCTGAAAATGGAGGAAGTCTCAGGCGGGAGCCTCGTCTGTGAGTGAATTGGGAGGAAGTCTCAGGCGGGAGCTCCCTCCCTATGGGGCCCGCAGATCATGTTGGTAATCCGAGCGGGTCATCGGAACCTGTAACTGTCGTCACTTTTGGGCTCCTCAAGCCTGAATTTGGAGGAAGTCTCAGGCGGGAGCCTCGTCTGTGAGTGAATTCTGAGGAAGGCTCAGGCGGGAGCCCCTCCCTATGGGGCCCGCAGATCATGTTGGTAATCCGAGCGGGTCATCGGAAACCTGTAACTGTCGTCACTTTTGGGCTCGTCAAGCCTGAATTTGGAGGAAGTCTCAGGCGGGAGCCTCGTCTCTGAGTGAATTGTGAGGAAGTCTCAGGCGGGAGCCCCCTCCCTATGGGGCCCGCAGATCATGTTGGTAATCCGAGCGGGTCATCGGAATCCTGTAACTGTCGTCAATTTTTCCCCACATCCAAAGTGGGGTTCTTGTTTTCTCTGGACACCCCGCGCAGGAACAGGAACACACACACACCCACTCACACTCACTCACACTCTCTCATCATCAACCTCATCAGCATCATCGATGATGCTCTCTCACATGCTTAGTCACTCACATACTCATCATCATCATCACTCGCACTCTCTCACACGCTCACGAACATCATCATCATCATCATCATCGGCATCGGCATCATCCTCATTCAAACATCATCATCGCCACCACCACTCACAATCAATCATCATCCTCTTCACCACTCATCTTCACCACCACTCATCATCCTCATCCTCATCATCGTTGAGTAAATTGTGAGGAAGTCTCAGGCGGGAGCCCCCTCCCTATGGGGCCCGCAGATCATGTTGGTAATCCGAGCGGGTCATCGGAATCCTGTAACTGTCGTCACTTTTGAGCTCCCCAGGCCTGAAAATGGAGGAAGTCTCAGGCGGGAGCCTCGTCTGTGAGTGAATTGGGAGGAAGTCTCAGGCGGGAGCTCCCTCCCTATGGGGCCCGCAGATCATGTTGGTAATCCGAGCGGGTCATCGGAACCCTGTAACTGTCGTCACTTTTGGGCTCCTCAAGCCTGAATTTGGAGGAAGTCTCAGGCGGGAGCCTCGTCTGTGAGTGAATTCTGAGGAAGTCTCAGGCGGGAGCCCCCTCCCTATGGGGCCCGCAGATCATGTTGGTAATCCGAGCGGGTCATCGGAACCTTGTAACTGTCGTCACTTTTGGGCTCGTCAAGCCTGAATTTGGAGGAAGTCTCAGGCGGGAGCCTTGTCTCTGAGTGAATTGTGAGGAAGTCTCAGGCGGGAGCTCCCTCCCTATGGGGCCCGCAGATCATGTTGGTAATCCGAGCGGGTCATCGGAACCCTGTAACTGTCGTCACTTTGGGCTCCTCAAGCCTGAATATGGAGGAAGTCTCAGGCGGGAGCCTCGTCTGTGAGTGAACTGCGGGGAAGTCTCAGGCGGGAGCCCCCTCCCTATGGGGCTCGCAGATCATGTTGGTAATCCGAGCGGGTCAGGAATCTGGCTGCAGGTGCACGGCTTCAAGGAGTCTCCGATCTACCAGGAGGTCGCCGAGGTGCTGCGACAGGGCGCCGAAGGCGCCGACGACGACGGCCAGGCCGAGGCGCGGGCGCGGAGCTTGCTGATGTTCAGGCCCAGCGAAAGGGAGTTCACATGGCAGAGCTCGGGGGCGCACAGCGTGCGCCGCTCGGGGTTCACCCTGACGCACGCGTCCTACCTGACCTCCACGCTGTCGCAGGGCCAGACGCTGCGCAAGGGCGTCACCATCGACTGCGCGAGAGACGAGGACGCTGGCCGCACGGGCATGTCGGACGAGCAGTGGTGGCTGCACCTCTACGTCATGTTCTCCCGCGCCACGTGCATGCGGAACATGCTGATCCTGCGGCCGCCGCCGCGAGAGTTCCTGGAGTGCGGGCCGCCGGCGTCCCTGCGGAAGGCGCTCCTGGAGTTCGACAAGAGAGCGGTTTTGTCCAGGGCGGAGGCGAAGCAGCTCGCGGCAGAGCTGGGCTTCGTGCTGCCTTCCGCCTGAGCGCGGCTGCGCCTCGCTCGAAGCCCGCGGGGTTGTCCCAACGGCTTGGTCTTGCGCGCCAGCGGCTCGCGGGGTTGTCCCGACAGCCTGGCCCGCGGGGTTGTCCCAACGGCTGCGCGACGTGACCAGTAGAGAACGCGCCTGTGCTGGCCGTGGCGGCGACGGCGCCGAGGAACATCGACATGCGCGCTCATGCAACAGGAAGGGGAGGAGGTGGCGGGGCGCGGAACAAACAGGGGGGCGAGGATGGGGACAACGTAAGGAGTGGAAGGGAGGCCCGCGCCAAGGCGAGAGGAAATATACGCAGAAGAGACAGCCAGGACGCCTCACCAACCACGAGGACGACGGTGATGGCTTTTTCCAGATTCGCCCAGAGGATTCTTATGTGGGGTTCTTCCGTCGGAGTATTTTTTTGGCGACGTCGGATCTCAGGGTACCAACCTTTGGACGCTTTCGTGGAGCTTCTGGGGACCTCCAGATGCTTCCCGGGAGCTCGGCAACCATACAGTCGGGGAAAACCAGGATGAGGAGCAGAGGAGGGTGAGCCTGTATCATCGAGAACGTAGGGGTCATCGAGGGGATTCTTGTTGGGCCCTGTCCAATACCGAATAACAAATGCCTGTGACGTAGAGGGGTCTTCTGGTTGGCTATAGAAGCAGTGTCGCTCGGCTTGACGTTTTTTAACAATTTCTTTGATCAGGAACCTCTAGAGGCTTCTTGGGACCTGGAGGCTCCTGGGGACCTGGAGACCGCGGAGACCATTTGCAGGACCTTCACGCAGGTCGGGACCTGGAGATCTTGGGATGCCTCTTGGTTAGGAGTACGCTTCAGGGCCCGAAAAGGGCGCCTTTCCCCCTCCGTTCAACGCCCCCGCATTAATTCTCGCACAATTCCCAGACCCCCGACGTCGCGATTTTTTTTCAACGTGGTCTGGACCCCTTCCCCGCGACCGGTTTTTCATCCTGAGTCGTTTTTTGACGGTCCCGAGGCCCGGTAAGGGCCGCCAGAGGGCGAAAATAGCGAAAAAACCTCCCGTCGTGTTTTTTTCGCAGCGCGAGGGGTTCTGGGTTGGTACCTTCCGAACTTCTCGGTGTTCTCCCAATCGCAGTAGAGGCTCTCGCAGTTTTTGCAGGAGGTCCCGAGGCCGCCTCTAGGCCTTTGTGTTGTGCGAGGCCGTCGAGGCACGGCCCAGAGGCCCCGGCACCCATCAGACAGCTTAAGAGGAAACGCGCGTCCACTCGGTGGTTCAAAGATGGGGTCCTGAGGGACGGGGTCCTCAGGGTAGGGAAGGGGGTCCAAGGGTTAGATTATTACATAGTTTGAGGCACCTCGTCCTCAGGATCCCATCCGTCAGGACCCCATCTTTGAACCACCGGTCAACTTGCATGGCCCCCAGACTTCGCTTTCGTTGGCACCTCCTGGTGACGCATCGTTGGCATCTCTTGGGGGCGCCTCCCTTGGGGATCCCGAGCGGCTGGCACCTCCTGGGGACGCCTCGCTGACTTCCGCCGAGCTTCCGCCGGCTTCCGCTGGCGGAGCCGCCCTCGTTCTGCGTCCGCCACCTTTCGCCGCCCCTCCCGCCGCCCTCCGCCGAGGAAGAGATGGCAACTCCCCCGATCCTCGAGGGCGAGGCCCTTTCTGGAACGCCTCATGCAGATATTCGTGGCGTACACCCATCAGACAGCGCGTCAACCTGCATGGACTCCAGATCTCGCTCAAGAAACTCAAGAATCCTGACGGGGCCCTGGGCGCTTTTTTGGAGCTTGTCTTTTCGCGGAACCGTCGTATCTCTGGACCTTTGGACTGCCGTTTAAGACAGCGCTTGGACCGAAGGCCATTTCCTTAGCGTCGAGCGCACCCGACTACACGTAAGAGTGACCTTTCGCCGGAAGGACCTATGGTGCGGGCCCAATTGGGTCCCCGATCGCCAAATGCGATGTGATAGTTGCGTTTTGCGCGCTTGGGTTTGGTCCCCTCGCGCCCCCCAAGAGCCGCGCACCAAAGGTCACTCTGGCCTAGGGCCACTTTTACGTGCAGCCGATGCAGTGGGCGACGAGCCCAGGGGGGAAGTGAGGAGGGGCGGGCTTTCTCAGAAGGCTCGGAAGTCCCCCGGCCTTCTGAGAAGTGTTCTGAACCTTCCCCGAAGTCCTGCCGCCTTCTGAGAAGGGCGTCTCCTTCTCACTTCCCGCCGCCCAGTGCAGAAACAGCTGGCAATGGCAGCGGGCTCCGACGATGGCTCCCTGAGATGGGGGGGTGCAGCAACAGGAGCGAGGGGAGCGGGAGGTAGTCGAGGAGCAGGGTGGTGGAGGGCGCAGTGAAGGACGGAGGAGGAGGAGGAGGAGGAGGAGGAGGAGGAGGAGGAGGAGGAGGAGGAGGAGGAGGAGGAGGAGGAGGAGGAGGAGGCAATGGCAATGGCACTGAGGCATAGGTGCAAATCCACCTCGCCGCGCATGTGGCAGAGGGCTGGCTGGTCGCCATCGCCCTCCGACGGCCAACGGCCCTCGGCCTTGGCGTCACGCTCAGCCCTTCTGCACTCACGGGCCCACTCTGCAGCAGCCGTGGGCGACTCAGAACCGTGCAGACGGGCAACTCTGTTGAGGTCCAGCGCAGGGACGTCGACTCCACACTGGCGGAAGCTGGCGGGCTCCTCATGAGCCACATAGGGACCACCGAGCCCGCCAGCGGGCCCAACCGCAACGCCCCCAGACGACGCACTGGACCCCACCAGCTTCTCGTGCAGGCCAACAAACATCCTCGTCCTCTAGGCCTACGAATCCAGGCAGCTTAGGAGGAGGGCGAGGGGCAGAAGGGTGCAGGAACCGCTTCAACCGCGAACGCTGGGACTTCAGCCCCTGGTGCCGCGGCCCAAAGCACAGGCCCGCAAGGCCCTTATTCGGGGAGACACGCTGCTCCACCGAGGCCCCGCAGGACTTACAGAAATACAAAGCTTGCGGCCCTGCTTCTACATTAAACTCACACTTCACAGCCGAATGCCTTTGAAACAGCTTCGGCCTCCCAGGAATATTCCCCAGCTCGACCCCCACCCCCAGATCAGACGGCGCGGGCTTAGGCTCTTCGGGGATAGGGACGCAGGCGGCCTGTTTCCACCCCAATTTTTCCCTGGCAAGGAGGGCAGAGTCGAGGAGCTTAGCACCTTCTCAGTAGAGCGGAACCTCGAATTCGAGAACGACATCGGAGGTGCCTCCGACACCTTCCGTGTCCCATGCATCATTGTCGCCCATCCAGGCGTGAACTTGACCGATCCACTGGACAAGCTGGCTGCCACGGGCCTCACAGGCCTCGATAAACAGGATGCGCTCTGGAGGGGCCCGCCACAACTTCGCACCCTTCTGGGCCCAGTGGTCGGCCAGAGCACTGCCTCGCCTGCACCAGGTGTCATAACAAAGGACGGATCACTCGCAGCTGCGGCGTGGCCTCTCACTTTTCTCACCGCAGCGCCCGAGCCACGCTTCGCCCACTACCAGGTCCAGAAATGGCGGTTGGGGGTTCATCGGGTGCAGGGCCTCGACGGCACTGCGCGCACGGGAGTCGTTGTCGACGTCGTCGTCGTCGTCCCCTTCCTCCTCCTCCTCCTCCTCCTCCTCCTCCTCCTCCTCCTCCTCCTGCGCACCGTCGGCCTCGGGCTCGACCGAGAGCCTTGAGAGCACGTGAAGGGCAGACTCTTCGGCACCACGAGACGACCGAGGCAGCGACCACGAGAGCGGAACCGCCCCAGACATCGCACAGCTACGAGAGGCGTCATCGTGGATGGACACAGCCGCCCGGCCCGCTCCGCGCAGGCCACCAACCTGGGCGAGGAGGAGGAGGAGGAGGAGGAGGAGGAGGAGGAGGAGGAGGAGGAGGAGGAGGAAGGGGAGGGGGCGAGGGGCGAGGGACGAGGGGTGAGGTGTGAGAGGGACGAAGGTGGGGGGAGGAATACGAGGACCCCCCCTGTTGTCTCGGCGGTGGTCCTTTCGATCGGGCGCCGAGAGGTGGACTTGCGACAAGCTCGGTGTGGAGCTCTTCACCTACAGGCTCCCTGCCCGCATGAGCCGATAGCACAACCCGGTCGCGGCATGCATGCTCGCTTTGCCAGGCATCAGGATGATGCTGAAGATGCACCTGAAGCTGAGTCTGATGATGCTGATGATGATGACGATGATGATGGGTGGATGGATGTGGCTGTGATGATGCTACTGCTGCTGCTGCTGCCTCTGCTGATGGTGATGACGACGATGGTGAGGATTCTGAGGATGATGAATCGGATCGTGGTGCAATGCTGATGATGTTGACGATAGTGACGATGACGATGATGCAGATGATGCAGATGCTGCACATGACGCACGCATTGATGGCACTGATGCTGGTTAACGGTGGTGGTGGTGTTTATGATGATGGCTGTGGTGGCGGTGGCGAAGATGATGCTTATGCTTATCATGATAATGATGGTGCTGCTGCTGATGTCTATGATGACGACGATGCTAGTTGCGATGACGATTATGCAGATGCTGCAGATACGTCAAGGACGATGGTGATTATGATGGTCACGATGATATTGAGGACGACTATCATATGATGATGAGGAGGATGTTGGAGCTGATGGTGCTGGAACTGGTTGTTGACGATGATGATGATGGTGATGCTAGCTGATCGCGATGATGCTGTTGGCGATGATACTGATGATGATGATGATGATGATGATGATGATGACGATGACGGAGACGATGATAATGATAATGGTGCTACTGATGATGGCGATGACGAGGATGATGATTATGATGCTGCTGATGATGCGGATTCCGATGATGACGACGGCGATGATGATGCTGGCGATGATGATGTTGATGATGATGGTGATACTGATGATGCCGATGATAATGATGTTGATATGCTGATGACGATGCTGCTGTTGATGATGATGCTGCTGATGCTGCTGATGCTGTTGATGCCGATGATGACGATGATGATGATGATGATGATGATGATGATGATGATGATGATAATGCTACTGATGATGCTGTTGCTGATGATGCTGCTGATGATGATGCTGATGCTGATGCTGATGATGACGATGATGACGCTGATGCTGATGCTGATGATGACGATGATGATGATGCTGATGATGCTGCTGATGATGATGATGGTGATGATGATGATGATGCTGATGATGATGACGATGATGATGCTGCTGATGATGATGATGATGCTGATGATGATGATGATGATGATGATGATGATGATGATTATGATGATGATGATGATGATGATGATGATGATGATGACGTTCGTGCCTCCTCCCCTTCTCTGGCCCTGTGCTCCTACGATATATTGACGTGGTTCGCTGCTCGGAGGTGAGGAGGCCGCAGTGCTGCTACCAGCACAGGTACCCGTACGGCCACCACTGCAGGTGACACTACAGCTCCCAGTAGAGCTCGTAGTAAATCTACCATGGCAGGTACCACTTGTTACCACTACAAGTGCCAGTGCAAGTGCCACTACACCTACCACGACAGGTACCAGTTCGGCTACTCTGAAAGCGACCAGTTCAGGTACCAGTTCAGCTACCGCTACAACTACCACGACATATACCAGTTCATGTACCATTACAGCTACCACTACATCTACCACTACATCTTCCAATGCAACTACCAATCTAGCTACCACTGCAGCTACCACTACGGATGCCACTGCATCTACCAATGCAGCCATTGCCCCAGCTCGCACTGCAGTTACTACTACAGCATCCACTACAACTGCCGATATCGCAATAGACCGAACAGTGAAAATATGAGTAACGTCTTTAAATCCCCGGATGACGTTGCTCAGGAAACTCACGCGCCGCCGTTCAGGTGACTCCTGGATTTCTGGATGTAAGATGAGCCACGGCAAAAGCAGTTATATTGCAGCTGCTGAAAGATGCGAGGCGTCGGCCACCCCGAAGAGTTGGATCCCCGGACGACTCCCGGGGATTGAACCGCTCAGCCCAGGATTGAACCGTTCCTCTGGGGATTCAACCCATCGCGGGGCCGGTCACGTCACGATTCGCGCCAGTGCCGTCTGGGAACTAGCCGCTCCCAGGCATTCACAGACGGCGCTGGCGCGATTCGAGATGTGACCCAGGGGGGAGGAGGGGAGGGGGCGCGGGGCTGGTCACGGGCGTGGTCGCGATCCTGTACCCAGACATGCGACGTCCTGATTTTTTCAATGCGGGGTCCCTGGAAGTCCCGACCCGTTCCAGGGGATCGGTTTTTCATCTTGAGTCGTTCTCTGATGGTCCCGAGTCCCGGCGGCGGCCCCCCGAGGCCGACAATAGCCACAAACCTCCCGTACTGATTTTCTCTACGACGCGAACAGGTCTGGGGGTACGTACTTCAACAGACAGGCCCCGAAGGGAGTTCCCCACCGTGAGAGCCCCGGCAGGCTGCAGATCCGCAGGCCGCACGGCGAGCTGCGCACGGGCATCTCCCGCGAGAGGTACGAGGACCCGGGGCCCCCCGGGCGCGCCCTCTCAGCCTGCCGTGGGCGGCCGGGGGGCACGAGCCAGCGGCCGGCGCTCGGGCCGTACCGCCGGGGAGGCGCTCCCAGACATGGTCGCATCGCAAAACAGTCAGGACTTTCTCCTCCTTCGCTCGGTCCTCAGCGCGAGCACCTCGGGCATAGTCCGATGCGTCTGCGCACTCGCGAGCCGCATGTTTGCCCGGGGGATGCCAGCCCATCTTCGGTGCGGTAGGTTTGGGGCCATTTTCGTGCTCGGGGGGCCCTCCCCGGGCCTCGGGGCCGTCAAAGAATGACTCAGGACGGAGAGCCGGTCCCGGGGAGGGGGTCGGGACTTCCGGGGACCTCGTATCGAGCAAAACCCAGGACGTCGCATGTTTTCGCAGGCCCAGAGGTTGACACCAACACCAAGATGGGCGGTGTGCCTCCACCGAGGAAAGACGATCCCGATCTCGGTGATGGTGCTAATATTCTGGCTCCCAAAGTGGCCGAAATATTTCCACCAACACCGAAATCTATGATCATCTTCCCCCCTGTGTAGGCAACCCCCTGTGTTGGTGTTGGTGCTCATTCCCAGGCCTCCAATGTTTGGGTTTTTTTTTGGTCAGTCCTTCGGCGGCGAAGGCCGAGCCATGCCCTTTGCCGATCCACTGTTCGGGCAACTCGATGGGCGGCGGGGGAAGGGCTTCGGAGTTCGTCGAGCACACGCCGGAATCCGAACCCTCCTTCCTCGTCTGGAGACACGAGCACTGTCTGGACCATTTCAGGCCTTTGACTGTTCTTCTGACTTTTCGACATGGTCACCACCTCCAAGAGGTATTCCGTGACAGTTTCATGGTACCGTTGCACAGCTAATCCGAACCCTGGCTGGTGGTGGTCCGTAAGGTTCGGATGTGCCACATGCTTTTTCGACCCCGGTGTTCTTGCTCGATTTCAGCCCCCAGCGGGCCCGTCATGGCGCCAGGGAGGCCTCAAGAGTGGATCCTGGGCGAAGGGCTTGCCCAGGGGAAGGTGTCGGGAAAGGCTTGGGTTCGCGCGCTGGAAAATCAGATCGGTGGACGTCAATCGGCGGCAAGCGAGGGGGGGCAGTGAGAAGGGAAAAGCCTTCTCAGAAGGCGGCGGGCTTCTTAGAAGCCTTCGGCCTTCTGAGGGGTTTTCTGTATCTTCGGGGAAGGCTTAGGACACTTCTCAGAAGGCGAGGGGACTTCCGAGCCTTCTGAGAAGGCCCGCCCCTTGTCACTTCCCCCCGGGCCAGCCGCCGAGTCAAGAGGGGTGGGGGGACATCCGGTCCAATTTGCCCATTCATCGCCGATCGGGGCTATCGATCGCCTTGCGCCCATCTGTCTCGGCGATGCGTCGCCGCTCCCAGGTCAACATTTACCCCCTCCTGTGAGCCAGTGGCTTTGTATCGTCCGCCCTCACCCGAGGGAGCACCCGCAGAAAGATAAATTGTCGGAGCTCCGAGCGGGTTTCCTCGATCGGCGTTGCACCCCCTTCCCTGGCGCGCGGAGCGCGCCAGGGGCGGCGCCAGGGGCGGCGCCAGGGGCGGCGCCAGGGGCGGCGCCAGGGGCGGCGCCAGGGGCGGCGCCAGGGGCCGCGCCAAGGGCGGCGCCAAGGGCGGCGCCAGGGGGTACAGCACCAATCCAAGGAAACCGCGCGGACCCCCGACAGTTTTTTTGTTGTTTATGTTTTTGTTTTTGTTTTTGTTTTTGTTCTTTGTTTTTGTTTGTGTTGTTGTTGTTGTTTTTGTTGTTGTTGTTGTTGTTGTTGTTGCTGCTGCTGTTGTTGTTGTTGTTGTTGTTGTTGTTGTTGTTGTTGTTGTTGTTGTTGTTGTTGTTGTTGTTGTTGTTGTTGTTGTTGTTGTTGTTGTTGTTGTTGTTGTTGTTGTTGTTGTTGTTGTTGTTGTTGTTGTTGTTGTTGTTGTTGTTGTTGTTGAACATTATTACTTCTAAAGAATAATTATTGTTGGGACCCCTGGTGCACGACCCCCCCGCCGCGCCTAGGCCGCAGCCTCATTTTCATCATTTTCGTGAGGAAGTCTCAGGCAAAACGGGGGAGTCCGGATCCGGTTGTGTTGTTACGATCGGTTTTCCCATGCAAAAAATAAGCTAAAGTGGACATTTCTTGTTCTAACATAACCAAACTTCAAGAATCCCTTGCAAAAAATAAGGTAAAGTGGACATTCGCGCGCGCAAGACGAAATCCTTCCAAAACCTTAGTTTTCGTAGCGATTTTAACATAAAAACATCAAAAAACCAATGGTTTTTCAAAAAAAAAATGTCAAAATTTCATCCCGCGCGCTCTTGCGGATTCGTAGGAAACCCAACACTTTTTAATCATTTCTGTCAAACGGGCTTTTGCGAGCAACTTTTTCGAACTTCTGCAACAACGGTTGCGCACCTGCCAGGGCCATCATCCCTGTCAAATAATACCATGCGGGACACATTCGTTTTTTCTTCGCGCGCGCACGCCGTCGTCGTCGGCCGCGGGGCCCTGAATAGTAGCCACGGTCGTCCGCATGCCACGAAGTGAAGTGTCCGAACGTCATAGGGCGGGAAGCTGGGTGTGGGTGGTGGCGAAGAGTCGTTTGGAAATTTGGTAGAGCTTGAACCGGCCCCCCCACAAAGTGGGGGTATTGCCCGCCTCCTATGAAAACCCTGGCACTGGTGAGAACGGTGTGTCCCCACGTGCTAGTAATTGTTGTTGTTGTTGTTGTTGTTGTTGTTGTTGTTGTTGTTGTTGTTGTTGTTGTTGTTGTTGTTGTTGTTGTTGTGTTTTGTAGTTTTTGTGTGTTTGTTTAGTTCTTTTTTTCCCCCCGGGGCGAAAGGGGTCGGGAAGGGCAGGCGTCGGGAGCCGAAGACGAGAGGAGCGCCTCCAGATCATCCTCCCAGATCCTCTACCCAGAGCCCGAGGAAGAGAGGACCGCCGATCCGAGAAATCCGCGCGGAGCTCCAACAGCTTATGTTTTATGCCGCTTCGTCTCTCAGTGTCCACCATCTCTGGGCGACGGCGGGGGCAGGGCACGGGTCAGAGTCCTGCTGCATGGCCAAGCAGAGGAGGACGAGAAAGAGGACGAGGAGGAGGCGGAGGAGGAGGAGAAGGAGGAGGAGGAGGACGAGGAGAAGAACGAGGAGGAGGAGGAGGAGAACCAGTATAAGCCCTCCCTCCAAATTCCCTCTTCATGTATTCCTGCACGATGTCATGCAATATTGGGAGATGCTTCACCCCGGCCTGGCTTTTTCACTACAGTTTAGCATTCGAACTTTAATAACAGGATGCACTCTTAAACCGAGTGAAATCATAGGTCCTAGGAATTCAACGCCGCGAGTCAACGCAACTGTGTCGTCTTAGCAATCCTGAGTCGCGCCAGAACTCTATTCTGACTGTTGCGTCCTGATAGCCGTACGTCGTGCCGGAACACATTCCTTGGAATTCAATCGTACGAACCTTTGAACCAGTTGCAGCGTTTGATTTGGCGCTAAGGCGAAATCACATGGTAAACATAACTGGCATCCATCAGCGAAGTTGCTGCATTCTGTTAAGACGAATGCATGTGGCGCTATCGCGAGAGCAATACACAAAGGCAGCCCTCCATCGAATTTCAGAACCATCGATGGCGAGGAAGCCTTTGGCGAAACGCCCGTCTCGGTCTACGGGCACGCTTGGGGGGCGCGACAGGGACGCGTCATTTATGGAAAAGGGATGGAAGAGAAGGAGGAGCAATACCAGAGACAACCAAATATACACAAATGATGTTGCAGTAAACCCTCCCGTCCCACATTCCTTCCTCACACGCCCTTGCACGTCGTGCTTTTCACTGCCACGCGCCCCCCTCGAAAGACCAGTACAGTTGGGCCTGCCACTTTGGCGAGGGTCTCACTTTGAACAAACAATGCCTTGCATCTGTCTTGTGCGCAGTCACAGACGCGGCAGAATATCAACATTCAATTGTACCAGGTGTCAAGTGATATCCCGTTTCGAAACAGGTGTTGCCCTTGTGGTCATGAACACCGAGGTAGTCTAAAGCGACAGCTTCATTTTGAAAGTCGCCATGGGTCCGTGCAGCGCAAGGTGCCTTGAAGTTTCGGTGCCTTGAGCGTTTCAGGCGAAACCGCTTGACACAGAGCAGTCCTGTTTCCTCTTCACCGTTGCATTTAAAAGAATGAATGCGGCGCTTAAGGAATAACCCCATTGTGCAAGGGGCTGCCATCCATCCGTGAAGCTAGTGCAACCCTTGGGAAGAATTTGCGCGGTTTTGTGGCGATGCCACCAGTTTGAAAACGCCCGTGTAAAGCGTCACAATTCCCCAACCTTTTTTAGAACGAACGCTCCTGGCGTTAAGACGAGAGCCACATGTTGAAAGCTACCCCCTCCATTCGTGAAGTTGCCGCGCACGCTTGAGACGAATGTGTGATTGGCGCTGCGGCGAGAGCACAGGACCGCCCCTGCATCCTTGCAGCCATTCCGCATTTCTAAGACGAGTGTGCGCGGCGCACAGGCGAGAGCCACACACTGAAAACGACCCCCTCCATTCGCGAAACTTTTGCAACCTTTTTAAATGAGCACGCGCGGCGTTAAGGCGAGAGCCACCTTTTTGGAATGGACCTCCTTCTTCCGTGAAGCGATTGCAAACTTTCAGCGTGTGTGTGTGTGTGTGGCGTTGAGGCGAGAACCGCACTTTGAGAAGACACTGCCCTGCATCCGTGGAAATGCTGCGAACTCTCAAGACTCATCTGCGCGGCGCCAATGCGCGGCGCTGAACCGTTGCGAACTTTAAAGACGAATGTTCGGGTCGTTGGTTTTCTCACTCTCTTGCCACGGGACAATTTGCGCCTGCCGTCTCCCACCACGCCCGACCGCGCGTGCGGACTGCCGCTGCCGCGCTGCGATGTTCGCGGCGTTGAGACGTGAGCCACATTCTGAAAATTATCCTTCCTCCCGACGGTTGCAAACTTTCAAGGCGAATGTGCGCGGCGTTGGGGCGAGAACCACATTTTGAAGACACGACCACCCCTCCCTCGGTGAAACGGTTGCACATTCCAAGTTTCAGGGTCTTAACTGATGAGGAAGTCTCCAGCGAAACGCCTGGCCCGCCGTACCGACACGCCTAGGGGTGCGGCAGGGGGGAGTTAGTTGACAAGGGGAACAGATGGAGGAGGAGGAGGAGGAGGAGGAGGAGGAGGAGGAGGGAGGGGGAGGAGGAGGGAGAGGAGGAGGGGGAGGAGGAGGAGGCGGAGGAGGAGGAGGAGGAGGAGGACGAGGATGAGGAGGAGGAAGAGGACGAGGACGAGGAAGCACCACTGAAGAGCTGTTGTCCAGGGGCAGGGCCACGCGCAAAACATGCTGGCACCGTCCGACGTGGATCGCGCGGATCGGGGCCTCGAGCAGTGCGAGCACTTCGAGCCGGGCGCGCCAGGGAGACGGCGAGGGGCACGCAGTGAGGTACGTGCGGCGAGGGTCGCGAAAGGCGCGCGGAGATCGAACATACGCGCGGGCAGGTTCTTTGGAGAGGCCCCTCCCGTGCCTCCTCTTGCGCTTCGTGTTGCTCTTCCTCCTCCTCTTACTCTTCATCCTCCTCTTTCCTCTTCTTTCTTCCTCTTTCCTGCTCTTTCCTTCTCTTTCCTCTCCCTTCTCATCCCCCCCTTCCCCTTCTCCTTCTCCTTCTCCTTCTCCTTCTCCTTCTCCTTCTCCTTCTCCTTCTCCTTCTCCTTCTCCTCCTCCTCCTCCTCCTCCTCCACTCTCGCCACCCTTTCCATGCTCCTGTTCATCCTTCTCCTCCTCGTTGATCCTCCTCTTCCTCCTCCTCCTCCTTTTCCTCCCTATCTGGTCGCTCTCTCCGCTTCTCCTGCTCCTCCCCAGTGCCCCTCCTTGTCCCTCCGCCCTCCCTCCTGCCCTCCTCCCTGCCTCCCCTCCTTCCTCGCCCTCTTCTCTCCTCCTCCCTCCCTCCTCCCTCCTGCCGCTGCCCCTCTCGCGTCCGCCTGGTGCCGCTGCCCCCGCCCCCCTCCTCCTCGGCAGGAGAAGTCCAAGGAGCTCCGCTTCCGCATGTACTCGAGGCCGCTGCGGGCCTTCCGCCGCCTGCTGCCGCCGCCACCTCCTCCGAAGTGCTCGCGCCGGGAACAAATACGACCGTAGTTTTTGTTGCTGTTCCTCCTCTTTTTTTGTTTACCGCATGGTTTGTTTATTCTCTCGTCTTTGTTTCAAGAAGTTTTGTTTTTGAATTCTAATCGAGAGGCCTCCTTGTCCTCGTCCTCCACTCACTCCCAGCCCCCCCGGCGCCGGGACGCTGTGCAGGGGCCGCTCCGCTCACACCGGGAGGGCGTTTCGCAGGCGGAGGAGCACGAGGCCCAGCACGGAGCCCAGCGCCAAGCCCGACGAGGAGGTTTTGGTCACTCTCGGCCTCCTGCGGCCCTCACCGGCCCCGGGGACCGTCACGAGACAGCCTGGGATGAGAGCCCGGTGCTGGGGAAGGGGTCCAGACCTCTGGGGAGCCACGTCGTGTTGAAAAGCGCGACGCAGGATGTCGGGGTCCGCCAACTCCGCCGCACTCCGCCGCCCGTCGCTGCCGCCGTCGTCAGCGCCGCCGCCGCCGCCTCCGCCGCCACCGCCACCGCCGTGGTCGTGGTGGTCGGTCGTCGTCCTTCTCGCCGTCCGCCTCGCCCTCGTCGTCCCCGTGCAACTGCAGTCGTCGACGTTGTCGCCGCCGCCCTCGTCGTCTCCTCCTACTCTTTGTCCTCCTTCATCCTCCATCGCTTTCCCCTCGCACCCTCTTCCGTTCCTCTCGGGGGCTTCGCGGGGCCCCCTTGGCGCCTCTTGGGGCCTCCTGGGGGCCTCTTGGGGCGGAAGGCTCGGATTTTCGGTTCCCGTTCCCTCTCCTGGGCCCCGTTCGGGGTCGTCCAAAAATGGGTGGGAGGGGGCGGGCCGGGCAGGAGGAAGGGAGGAAGAGGGAGAAGGAAGAGGAGACTGGGGCGGGGAGCGTTTTCGAAGTTTTTTTGTTAAATTGCTTTTTTGTTGATTTGTTTGTTTTTCTTTGTTTTTGTTTGTGTCCTGTTTTTTATGTATCTTGGGCCCTGCAGGCGAAGGATACCTCTCGATCCTCGGGGCGGCTCAGAAAAGGTCCTGACAGGGGCACCAGAGATAGGACAACTAAGTGACCGTTGCCTGACTTACGCGTCCGGTGTATTACCTCTGCGTCCTTCTGCGAGCCCACCGCCGCCGAGCGCCAGGAAATCCCGTCAGCGCCGACGGCCGCCCCCCCCACCGCAGGCCACGTCAGAGAGGTGGGGGGTACGGTGTGCGTGGGGGCAAAGACAGGCGGCCCCGCCACAAACCTGCGCCCCAAGTGGCAGAGGCTGCGGCGACGACTGGGGGGCGGGTATCACGAGGAGCGACCGCCCGCCCCCGAGCCCCGCGACACCCAGCCCCTGGGGGGGGGGGGGGGGGGGGGGCGGGCCGCGCAGGCGAGGGGGGGCAAACGGAGACGAGCGGGCAGAGCAGCAGCGAGCGGGGGAGGTGTAAAGGGGGGTGTGAGTAAGATTTCCGCGCCCCGAAAAAGGTTTGATATCGCCCAGGCCCAGCTTCGAGGAGCACGCAGATGGGGGCGGGGAGCGGGAGCGACCACATGAGTGACGCCGCGGCGGCACATGTGACGCTGCGGCGGCACGGGTCGGAGCATCACCCTGGTAGGGGGGCGGGGAGAGGGAACGATCGCATGAGTGACACCGCAGCAGCACATGTGACGCTGTGGCGGCACGGCTCGAACCGTCACCCTGGTGGCTGGAACGTGGACGAAGTGGCACGGACAGCCCTCCAACACCCCGATTCAGCATTTTGGATAGGTGGGGGGTGGCCAATGCTGAGAAAGGGAGGGAGGGAGGGAGGAGGAGGAGGAGGAGGAGGTTCGGCCACGCGCGAGGAGAAGAAGGAGGAGGAGGATGACCGAGGAGGAAGAGGAAGAGGAAGAGGAGGAGGAAGAGGATGATGATGATGATGATGATGATGATGATGATGATGATGATGATGATGATGATGATGATGATGATGATGATGAGGAGGAGGAGGAGGAGGAGGAGGAGGAGGAGGAGGAGGAGGAGGGGGAGAAGGAATATGAGAAGGAGGAACACCAGTGTAAACCAAAGATGCATCAACAAGGTTACTGTAAACCCTCACTCCAAGTTTCCTCTTCAGAATTCCCTAAAACAGATTATGTTTATGGCGGGAAGTGGTCAATTTGAAAGCAGGCGCCTGATACTCCTCAACCTTGCCAAACCGCATATCTTGCAATTGCGACGCTATGGATCAACGTGGCTGTTGCGCTCTGACAAGTGTAATTCGCGCCCGAACACCGTTCCTGTGATTTCGACGCATCAACACAGAATGATTGTTGCGCCCTGACAATCCAAAAACGTGCCAGAACACCATTCTTGGGATTTC